CTGTCCAGGGGTCCAGCGCCATAGTCACCCACGCAAGTTCTTCACTAGCCTCGGGGTTCCCGGTGCCGGCATTGAAAGTGAGAGAAAGCGGAAGTGAAGCCTTGTTGCACATACGCGAGTCGTGCTGCGCCTTGTGATTGGTCCCGTAGTCTTCTGGGACCGAGAAGTGTCCTAGAAGACTGGGGAGGAAAAGGGGAGGTTCTATCTACGTTCTATTATTAACTTTAATGTAACGAGCCGAACAAATGTTCCACGAAAGGAAGTTTTGTCCAAATTGTGGAAATGGTTGTTGTGTTCGAGATATTGATTAAAATCTTACTCTTCAAAAGGGGTGGACTCATGTATGCTGAGCATTGTGTGTATGCATGCATGTGCATATATATGTGTGTGTATGTATGTGTATATATATATATATATATATATATGTATGTATACAGTTGCAAGAAAAAGTATGTGAACCCCTTGGGATTACGTGGAGTTTTGCATGAATTGGGCATAAAATGTGCTCTGAACATCATCTAAGTCACAACAATAGAAGAACACAGTCTGCTGAACATAATACTACACAAACATTAGATGTTGCCATGGTTTAATTGCACATAACATGTAAACATTCACAGTGCAGGGAGGAAAAAGTATGTGAGGCCCTAGCTTAATGACTTCTCCCAGAGCTAATTGGAGCCAGGAGTGAGCCAACCTTGACTCCAATCAGTGTGATGATATTGGATGTGTTGCTGACAGCTGTTTTGGGTTTACTGGTTTCAAGAAGCACTGTGTGATGTGAACCATGCCTCGCAGAAAAGAGCTCTCAGAAGACCTACGATCAAGAATTGTTGACTTGCATGAAGCTGGAAAGGGTTACAAAAGTATCTCCTTGAGCCTTGATGTTCATGTGTCCACGGTAAGACAGACTGTCTACAAATGGAGAAAGTTTAGCACTGTTGCTACTCTCCCTAGGCGTGGTCGTCCTGTAAAAATGACTGCAAGAGCACAGCGCAGAATGCTGCATGAGGTAAAGAAGAATCCCAGAGTGTCAGCTAAAGACCTACAGAAATCTCTGGCACATGCTAACATTTTTGTTGACACATCTACAATAAGGAAAACATGAAACAAGAATGGAGTACATGGGAGGACACCACGGAGGAAGCCATTGCTGTCCAAAAAGAATATTGCAGCACGTTTGAAGTTTGCAAAAGAGCACCTGGATGTTCCACAGCACTACTGGCAAAATATACTGTGACAGATGAAACCAAGATTGAGTTGTTTAGGAAGAACACACAACACTATGTGTGGAGAAAAAAAGGCACAGCACACCAACATCAAAACCTCATCCCCACTGTGAAACATGGCGGAGGGAGCATCATGGTTTGGGGCTGCTTTGCTGCCTCAGGGCCTGGACGGATTGTTGTCATTGATGGGAAAATGAATTCCAGAGTTTATCAAGACATTTTGCAGGAAAACGTACGACCATCTGTCCGCCAACTGAAGCTCCGCAGAGGATGGGCGATGCAACAGGACAATGACCCAAAGCATACAAGTCATTCAACAAAACAATGGCTGCAACAGCACAGAATACGCCTTCTGGAGTGGCCCAGTCAGAGTCCTGACCTCAACCCCATTGAAATGCTGTGGCATGACCTTAAGAGAGCGATTCACACCAGACATCCCAAGAATATTGCTACAGTTTTGTGAAGAGGAGTGGTCCAAAATGACTCCAGATCGTTGTGCAGGTCTGATCTGCAACTACAGGAAACGTTTGGTTGAGGTTATTGCTGCCAAAGGAGGGTCAACCAGTTATTAAGTCCAAAGGTTCACATACTTTTTCCTCCCTGCGCTGTGAATGTTTACATGTTATGTGCAATTAAACCATGGCAACATCTAATGTGTGTGTAGTATTATGTTCAGCAGACTGTGTTCTTCTATTGTTGTGACTTAGATGAAGTTCAGAGCACATTTTATTTTTGCTCCCCTGCTGATGTTGAATGTTCGCCCCTCACAAAGAAACGATCGGTCTAAAAATGGAATGTTCGGTGTGTTGTAACACTGAGAGACAGAATACAGCAACAAATTCAGCAGAAATGCGTCTAACAAATGATGACTGATCTGCATGTTCATGAGGGAAAGAAGGATTTGATCCCCTATCATTCAGCAGGATTTCTGGCTCCCAGGTGTCTCTCATACAGGTAACAAGCTGAGATTAGAAGCAGTCTTTTAAAGGGAGTGCTGCTAATCTCATTGAATTACCTGTATAAAAGACACCTGTCCACAGGAGCAATCAAACCATCAGATTCCAAACTCTCCACCATGGCAAAGACCAAAGAGCTGTCCAAGGATGTCAGGGACAAGATGGTAGACCTACACAAGGCTGGACTGGGCTACCAAACTATGGCCAAGCAGCTTGGTGAGAAGGTGACAACAGTTGGTGCAATCATTCACAAATGGAAAAACACAAAACAAGTGTCAGTCTCCCTAGGTCTGGTGCACCATGCAAGATCTCACCTCGTGGAGTGTCAATGATCATGAGAACAGTGAGGAATCATCCCAGAACTACACGTGAGGATCTTGTCAATGATCTCCAGGCAGCTGGGACCACAGTCACCAAGAAAACAATTGGTAACACACTACGCCGACAAGGACTGAAATCCTGCAGTGCCCGCAAGGTCCCTCTGCTCAAGAAAGCCCATGTCCAGGCCCGTCTGAAGTCTGCCACTGAACATCTGAATGATGCAGAGGAGGACTGGTGGGAAGTGTTGTGGTCAGATGAGACCAAAATCCAGCTCTTTGGCATCAACTCAACTCACCATGTTTGGAGGAGGAGGAATGCTGCCTATGACCCCAAGAACACCATCCCAACTGTGAAACATGGTGGTGGAAACATTCTGCTTTGGGGGTGTTTTTCTGCTAAGGGGACAGGACAACTGCACTGCATCAAAGAGACGATGGACGGGGCAATGTACCCTCAAATCTTGGGTGAGAACCTTCTTCCCTCAGCCAGGGCATTGAAAATGGGTGGTGGATGGGTGTTCCAGCATGACAATGACCCAAAAACACACGGCCAAGGCAACAAAGGAGCGGCTCAAGAAGAAGCACATTAAGGTCCTGGAGTGGCCTAGCCAGTCTCCAGACCTTCATCTGATTGAAAATCTGTGGAGGGAGCTGAAAGTTTGAGTTGCCAAACGTCCGCCACTGAACCTTAATGACTTGGAGAGGATCTGCCAAGAGGAGTGGGCCAAAGTCCCTCCTGAGATGTGTGCGAACCTGGGGGCCAACTCCAGGAAACGTCTGACCTCTGTGATTGCCAACAAGGGATTGGCCACCAAGTGCTAAGTCATGTTTTGTGAAGGGGATCAAATCCTTCTTTCCCTCATGAACATGCAGATCAGTCATCATTTGTTAGACGCATTTCTGCTGAATTTGTTGTTGTATTCTGTCTCTCAGTGTTACACCGAACATTCCATTGTTAGACCGATCATTTCTGTGTGAGGGGCGAACATTCCATTGTTAGACCGATCGTTTCTGTGTGAGGGGCGAACATTCCATTGTTAGACCGATCATTTCTGTGTGAGGGGCGAACATTCCATTGTTAGACCGATCATTTCTGTGTGAGGGGCGAACATTCCATTGTTAGACCGATCATTTCTGTGTGAGGGGCGAACATTCCATTGTTAGACTGATCATTTCTGTGTGAGGGGCGAACATTCAACATCAGAGGGGTGCAAGTATGCATTTCCTTCACTGTATGTGTGTGTGTATATATATATTATGCTGAGCACTGTGTAACTACTGTCCATATATATATATATATACAGTGATTTGCAGCGTCTCTATGTAACCAGTAATAACAGTCATTAGCGGGGCACCTTGAGATGGGATCCCCACCTTTCCTGTGGGGGGGGGGGCTGACATTTTCCCATTCCTCATACCTGCTGCTCTGGTTTTGGCTCATCTCTGCCCCTTTATCCTGTAATTTCCTTTTGCTCGGCGGCAGCCCTCAGGACACCCGCACAGCGATTCTAATCCTCTCTGCAGAGGGCTAATGTACTGTAATGATAAAGAAGGATTCTCATACGTTTTCCTTCATTGGAAACACAAAGCAATGCCTACTAAGTAGCCAATCATCTTCCATTGCTCTCTTATTCCGGGCGCCGTCATTATTCTCGGTAATGAGCTCCGATCTGCGTCCCATAGATCAGAAGTCGGGGAAAGTCAGAAAACTCCGCTCTGGGCTCTCTTCACGGCAGGTTTCAGGGCCGCGGTTTGTCAGCGATACAATGGAGGACGGCGGCGGCGGCGGTGACATTCTGCTTCCATATTGTTCTCTGTGAACTTTCGCCGTCCTTGTTTGCTTGTCCTCTGAATGTTCCTAATTCCAGGAGCGCGGTAGGCGTGATGTTATAATGGCGGATAATAATATCTGATCTTCTGGTGTCAGAATAGTGTGTCGTGCTGTGCGGGGACATCATCGTAGACAGAAAACAATCTCATCTCATTCCACATGCATAACGCTTGGCTCCTCCATAGAGAGCGAAGACTGCGGATAATGAGTTCATTTGAGGTATGAAGGTAAAAACGCACAATATAATGGAGGGGTGGTGTTTGCATTGAATGTTGTAGTATTGTGTAACGTGCATATTAACTGGTTGTAATCCTCAGACATGAAATATGAACAAAGTACATCCCTCTATAGTGTGTACTAGTCTCAATCCAGAGCACTAACTGCCATTGCGGTCTGCTGCCTCCTTCCTCTGTTATCACTTCTGACAAGTTTTCCTGACACCAAGAGATTAAAGGTGACAGGGGAGCTCCAGCACACAGCCTGTGATTGACAGCCTCAGCTCTGTTTCTGTAAGCCAGGGGTGTCAAACTGGCGGCCCTCCAGCTGTAGTGAAAGTCCCTTCATCCCTCTGCCTTTGGGAGTCATACTTGTAACTGTTAATCTTGCACTGCCTCATGGGACTTGTAGTTTGGCAACAGCTGGAGTGCCGCCAGTTTTACAGCCGTGCCCTAGAGCAGGGGTTTCAAACTGGTGGCCCTCCAACTGTTGCAAAACTACACGTCCCATCATGCCACTGCCTTTGGGAGTCATGCTGGTAACTGTCAGTCTTTCAATGCCTCATGAGACTTGTAATTTGGTAACAACTGGAGGGCTGCCATTTTGACAGCCGTGCCCTAGAGCAGGAGTTTCAAACTGGTGGCCCTCCAACTGTTGCAAAACTACAACGTCCCATCATGCCTCTGCCTTTGGGAGTCATGCTGGTAACTGTCAGTCATTCAATGCCTCATGGGACTTGTAATTTGGTAACAACTGGAGGGCCGCCATTTTGACAGCTGTGCCCTAGAGCAAGGGTGTCAAATTGGTGGTCCTCCAGCTGTTGGGAAACTACAAGTCCCATCATGCCTCTGCCTTTGGGAGTCATGCTTGTAACTGTCAGTCTTGCAATGCCTCATGGGACTTGTAGTTTGGCAACAGCTGGAGGGCCGCCAGTTTGACACCCATGCTGTAAGCTGTGTGGAGCTCTTCCATCCAGTCAGCTCTCAGATCTTTCCTCATTGAGCTCTGCAGTATGTAAGGTCAGCTGTCCGCCCCCTGATTTCTGACAGCTCAGACAAGCTGTATAAATTCAGCACTTTGAACAGTTGAAGAGAAAACTGCAGATAAACAGGTACAGCGTATGTAGGAGGATTTATTTAATCTCTGTGTATCACCTGAGGCCAGTCGCTTCACTGGATAGATGGAAGGGTTTACAACCACTTCAAGCCCACTTAAAGAAAAAAAATCCAGCAGCGTCCCTCGCACTGCTTCTTCCTCACCACTAGAAATCGCCACTCTGATTGCAAATATCATTCAACCCACTTCCTCTGGGCCCAGGTTGTCATGGACCTACCTCCTGGAAGTACATCATGACACTAGCCTGGGCTCAGAATACTACTGTCGTTCCAAGAGCGCCATTGTGTGCAGCAGTAAGGACCGCCCCCTGCCGCCACCAGAGGAGAAGAGGAAGTACCTGAGGCGTCATTGGTTTAATTTGAAGCTCTTTGAGTTCTTCTTTAAAACAGAGAATTTAATATTTGTCTCTGGTGATCTGTACCCTTTATAACATTTCCCCGCTAGTGTCCTCGGTAATATACTTCCATGGCAATCATTCTGATCATTTACGCCGACCAGCCATAATTCTACGACCAATGACAGGTAAAGTGAATGACACTGATTATCTCGTTACAACGGCATCTGCAAGTGGGTGGGATAAATTAGGCAGCAAGTGAACATGTTGTCCCTGAAGTTGTTCTGTTGGAAGGCTGGGTAGCCGCAGACCGGTCAGGGTGCCCATGCTCACCAGTATCCACAATCAAAAGTGCCTACAATGCACGGCACGTGAACATCTGAACTGGACTACGGAGCCATGGAAGGAGGTGGCCTGGTCTGATGAATGACACTTTCTGTTCCATCGTGTGGATGGCCGGGTGGGTTTGCGTCACTTACCTGAGGAAGAGATGGCACCAGGATGGGAAGACGGCTAACAATGTGATGCTTTTGGCAACCCATGTCCACAGCCAAAGAGCCTACAATGGGCACGTGAGCATCAGAACTGGAGCATGGAGCCATGGGAGAAGGTGGCCTGGTCTGATAAATGACACTTTCTTTTCCATCATGTGGATGGCGGGGTGGGTGTGCATCACTTACCTGGGGTTACTTACCTAGCACCAGGATGCAGTATGGGGAGAAGACAAGCCGGCAGAGGCCATGTGATGCTTTGGGCAATATTCTGCTGGGAAGCCTTGGCTCCTCCATTCATGTGGATGCCATGTACCACCTACCTAAATATTGTTGGTGACCAAATACACCCCTTCATGGAAACCGCATTCCCCGATGGCAGTGGTCTCTTCCAGCAGGATAATGCGCCATTCCCAACTACAAAAATGGTTCAAGAATGGTTTGAGGAACACAACAATGAGTTTGAAGTGTTGACTCGGCTTCCAAATTTTCCAGATCTCAATCCAATTGAGCTTCTGTGGGATGTGCTGCAAAAACAAGTCTGATCCATGGAGGCCCCACCTCCCAACTTTCAGGGCTTAAAGGATCTGCTACTGGCGGCTTGGTGCCGGATAACACAGCGTACCTTCAGAGGTCTTGTGGAGTCCATGGTGAGACGGGTCAGGGCTGTTTTGGAGGCAGAAGGGGGGGATGCCTACCCAGTATTAGGTGGGTGGTCATAATGTTATGGCTGATTGGTGTATAAACCTATCTAGGACTGTCCTCTTCTTGCAGTTTGTGATCTCCAGTGATTGCACAAGTGCGTCACAGCATTATTATTATTATCTGTGGCAGGAAAGAGATGGAATGATCGTTGTATGGCCATGGCAACTTGTGCCCCTGGTAACATATCCTGCTAATGTCCCTGGTATTATATGTCCCTGAGAATGCATTTCCTTAGCAGTATGTCCCTGGTAATGTGATTGGTGATATATGTCCCTAGCAACATATGTCCTTAGCAACATATCCATGGTAATATTCTCGGTAATCAGAGCTTTTTTTCTCAGAGAATAGGTGCAGGAACTCCCCCCCCTTCTTAGTCACCCCTTGTCTCTGCCCCCTACCCACCTCCAAGCACCATTTCTTGGTTCCATCCCCTACCCACCTCCCAGTACCACCCTTTGGTTCCATCCCCTACCCACCTCCAAGCACCATTTCTTGGTTCCATCCCCTACCCACCTCCAAGCACCATTTCTTGGTTCCATCCCCTACCCACCTCCCAGTACCACACTTTGGTTCCATCCCCTACTCACCTCCCAGTACCACCCCTTGGTTCCATCCCCTACCCACCTCCCAGTACCACCCCTTGGTTCCATCCCCTACCCACCTCCCAGTACCACCCCTTGGTTCCATCCCCTACCCACCTCTCAGTACCACCCCTTGGTTCCATCCCCTACCCACCTCCCAGTACCACCCCTTGGTTCCATCCCCTACCCACCTCCCAGTACCACCCCTTGGTTCCATCCCCTTTCCACCTCCCTGTACCACCCCTTGGTTCCATCCCCTACCTGCCTCCCAGTACCACCCCATGGTTCCATCCCCTACCCGCCTCCCAGTACCACCCCTTGGTTCCATCCCCTACTCACCTCCCAGTACCACCCCTTGGTTCCATCCCCTACTCACCTCCCAGTACCACCCCTTGGTTCCATCCCCTACTCACCTCCCAGTACCACCCCTTAGTTCCATCCTCTACCTGCCTCCCAGTACCACCCCTTGGTTCCATCCCCTACTCGCCTCCCTGTACCACCCCTTGGTTCCATCCCCTACCCACCTCCCAGTACCACCCCATTTAGAGAATATGGAAACAGTATCATTTTGTGATACCAGGTTATTTGTATGGAATGTGTTAATGATAACCAAAAAAAGCAGTAAAACAGTTCCCCTGTACGCAGCAACAATGGCTCCCCCAGCAACAACAAATTGCACAGCAATATTAGATCTCCTGCGGGTAACAATAGACCCCCCCTGGCATAAAATAGATCCCCCACAACAATAGACCCTTCCCCAGCAACAATGGACATCCATAACCCCCCTCCCCTGCAACAATAGACTCGCAACAGCAAGCAACAATAGACACCTCCCTCAACAATGGCTCCCCCAGCAACAATAGATCACCCAGCAATATTATATCCCCCGCTGGCAACAATAGACCCCCCCAGCATAAAGTAGATCCCCGACAACATTAGACCCTTCCTGAGCAACAATGGTCATCCATAACCCCCCTTCCCTGCAACAATAGACTCGCAGCAGAACGCAGCAATAGGCCCCTCCCTCAACAATTGACCCCCCAGCAACAAAAGATCCACCTCCAGCAACATAAGATCCCCTACCAGCAACAGTAGACCTCCACGGCAACAATAGACCCCCATGCAAAAATAGATCCCCACCGGTGATAATAGACCCCCCAGCACCCCTTGCCATTACATACATTCAGTGGTGGAGGTGCCGGAACTGCGTTACTGCTGAAAGAAAGCCCTGTTGGTAATATGTCCCAGGTATTGTGTCTCTAGTAATGCCCCTAATACTGTGCAAAGTTCCACAGCAGCCAATCAGATTTCAGGATGTTTTAAGCAGACAGAGAGCGACAGTTGCTGATTGGCCGTCATGAGCCTCTAGCTGGCCCTACGCCCAGCGGCCATTAGTTCATTGGCTCCCACCACTCAGTACATTGGATTTCTGAGGTTGAACAATGAAGGCGAAGAGTGAATCACACATCAGCCAGCAGTGTGAATGTCACACCGTCTGCAGGTAATGACTTATTATTCGTATACCTGTCTCCGCTTTGTTCTTGTGGTTTTAGGATACATTAAAAATTTACACATGAAAGTAAAACATGAAGGGAAGCTGCCGGCACCATCAAGGAACTCCTCGGAGTCAGCTGTGAACACCATGTCTCCATTCAAATCAATTAGTATCAAACATATAGGATTTCTTTCACAGCATCGGTGTCAGCGCCGGCAAACTGCTAAATACACAGCCAGGGTAAGCCTGCTAGCCGCCAAAACATTGCGCCATTCTGTTCAGCCAGTTTTCTAATCCAGACTTGCTGTAGACTGGCCCAACCGTCCACTGCAAGTGAAGCAATACAGGTTGATTGGATAATGCAGTCATCTCCAAACTGTGGCCTGGGGGCTAGATGTGGCCCTTTGCTTACCTTTATCCTGCCTTTGGGGCACTATTCTTCCCACTGACACCAACAATGGGGCACTATTCTTCCCACTGACACCAATAATGGGGCACCATTCCTCAAAATGACACCAACAATGTGTCACTATTCTTGCAATTGATACCAGCAATAGGGATCTATTCCACCCATTAAAACAAATGATGGGGCACTATCCTTCCCAGTGACACCAATGATGGGGCACTATTCTTCTCAATGACACTAATGATGGGGCAGTATTCTTCCTAATGACACCAATGATGGGGCACCATTCCTTCCAATGACACCAACAATTGGGCACTATCCTTCCCACTGACACCAACAATGGGGCACTATTCTTGCCACTGATACCAATAACAGGGATCTTCCTCCCATTAAAACCAATGATGGGGCACTATCCTTCCCACTGACACCAGTGATGGGGCACTATCCTTCCCACTGACACCAATGATGGGGCACTATTCCTCCCACTGACACCAATGATGGTGCACCATTCCTCCCAATTACACCAACAATGTGGCACTATTCTGAACATTGATACCAACAACAGGGAACTATTCCTTCCATTAAAACCAAGGATGGGGGACTATTCTTCCCACTGACACGTCATCCCTTTCCACTCAGTGGTTGAACACAAAAGATTTCCAACCCAGAAGAAGACCAGGAGAAGATGGTGATGGAGCAGCAATGGGGTGCACAGACCTTGCAACGCAAGAAGAG